TTAGAACAGGATAAGAGTAGAAGCAATAGTTAAAATATACATATATATGAAGCATTTAAAAGTAATGTTTAGTTAAAGTTTTAAGTTATTAAATTAACAAATTACCCAGTATTTTGCATGGTATTTACCTATTATCCATATACCTACCACACGGATATTCCTAAAAAAGAGTATGTACAAAATCAATTGACGTCTTATTCGTTGATTTGTTCATTTTACATATTTGCAAAATTTTGTGACACACAATGTCACAAAATCACGCCCTTCACAAAGTACACTCTGAGTGATATTTAAAATTTGCCAGACTTAAAGCTATAATGAAACAAAACTTTATTCTAAAGGTTATTACATAGCTTCTGCGTACTTTGGATGATAAAAATCCGTGGTAACGACTCGTTAAGCTCTTGCAGGTATTCTCGACCTAAGATGTTTGAAATAAGTATTGTAAATGAATAAATGTATTCAAATCTAAGTATATTTACAAAGAGCAATCCCTAGTTTCTCGCTCATTCTTCTCAGGGGAATCTGCCTTACGAGTGAGCAGAACAGTTTAATCAATATGACGATTTCAAGTGTGATTTGCTTACCTATGAAATAAAAATGATTTAACTCCGACTTTGACTTTTATGGATAGAATAGAGCCGTGGTAGTTCAGTGGGAAAATGATTGATTCTCAATTGAAAATCCGAGCACGTACCTACTTATAACTTTAATTTCTAAGTTACGTACATTTGTGAATGTTTAGAAAGCAATATCTCTCACTAGCTAAAGAAAACATCATCGTGATGAAACCGTATGTCGAGAAAGGGTACACAGATATTGGAAAACCCAGCGCGCATAGACCCTTGCCTAATAGTGGAATGGTGATATGGGTGATCTTGACTAAAATAAAAAAGAAGCGGATACATAACACGATTCTTTTTCGTTTAAGGGATCCAACACAAAGGAATATTATCACAAAAGCGGACATCATTTTTAACTATATTATTTAATAAAATGTGATTGTAGTACTTATATTCTAGCCATTTGAATATTTACATCGCTCATAATATTATTCATATTTTCATTAAAGCTATACGAGTTGTATAAAAGTAAATATGATTTCTTGATACCTACTGGAACCATAGATATAGACTGGAAAACGTAGTAAATTCTATCCATTTGAACATTTATATCACTCATAATCATAATATCTTTCATATTTTCATTAAAGTTATATGAGTTGTATAAAAGTAAATGGGAATTCTCTTAGAAACATAACTAATACAGCACTGAGTACTGAATGGAGTTTCGTGCCTGCGTCTGTATTTCCGAGCACATACAACTGAATAGGCATCTTCTGGTAGAAGTCGATCCATCGTAGACTCCCATCTTTGTTCCAGGGGTTACGTAGTAGTCAAAAGTACGTTCATTTATGTGAGTGTGATAAATTAAGTACATATGCGTATGTATATAGTCTAAAAAATAGAAGACATAATTATAACGTCCTCGCAGATATTGAATAAGATTTCCTTATTGTGCCAGCAGATGCCAGCTTGCTGCCACTACAGCGTCATGCGTTGTTTAGCCAGATGAATAGATACAAAATTGCAAAAAAACATTTAAGAATAGGTTTCTGTCAATTATCTCGATACCCTCTACCATGAGTTTAACAATTATCGGTTGCGATCGAGTAAAATATTTAATAATAATAATAATAATAATAATGCACACACTCAACATAGCCCCATTTGTATGCAAAATGTTGCTTCTCGTGACCGCTAGGAGCACTGTACAATTTGGCTGGTCAAATACTTAACGTTAGCAACACCTCTCAGTGTACACTCATGGTAGAGGCTCTGATTGTCTTGTCACTTTAGTTGATTACGTACGTACAGTCAATGTCCTAAGATACCGGAACCCCTAGCCGACCTTTTGGTTCTGACGCCTTCTTACGCATTTAACAGAAAAATGCAAATGAATTCCAGATTTTTTATTGAAATTTGTATTTATGTATTAAAGATCAAATTGGCTTAAAAAGCTTCTTAAAACGTCATTCATTAAAGTTGCCATAAGAAGCCATACCAAAATGAATTTTACGGCTCACAGGCTAAGGTTAAATTTTGCTGAACACCTTCACACTGAACTACTCGGAGCCAAAATATAGACGATCAGGGGTCAGGTACCCTAAGGCATTGACAGTACATGCCTTTGTGGTGCACAATAATTAAAGAGCATTTCGTCGCCTTACTTTCTGAAACTCGTATCTTTAATCACAAAGTTACTGAAATGCAAAAAATGGATTGTATAATACAAATTTTGCCGGATGATTTCACTTTACATTTCCTTCATATTCACATACTGGCTTTTACCTATTGTTAAAGTAAGCCGAATTAACACCCTTGATAAGAAATTTAAAATAAATAGAAATTTTTGCCACATCCTGAATAAGATACGACTTTGGGAAAGTAAGGCATCGATTTACAAAATACAACAACACAAAAACGGTAGAGAAAAATTTGCGAAAGAAATAAAACGCCAAGTTATCGAAATCAAAATTTTTATTTATTTTAAAAAACGCTTCCAATACGTTACCTCAATGATATTATACTTGTAAACAACGTTACCTACGTCACGTTACAACATCCATTAAAACAGCAAAAAGACAAAATGTTTTTTTGATGAATTATTGCGATCGATACTTTAAAATATTTTTTTAAAACTACTATAACATTGGAATAATTGATGTGTATATAATTTTATTGTTTGATTTTATTTAGAAACGAATTACATTCTTCTGTATAAAAATGTGTATAAGAAAATATACTTTTTGTTTTGATACACAATTGTTTTTAGATAAACAGTAGTTAAGTTATTTTATCGGCATTCAAGGGCAGAAAAACGATCACCTACGAAAAAGTTTCAATCAAATATAATCTAGGTTAATTACGGCTGCTCCATAACAAAACCTAGTAAGTGTTTTAGACAACATTTTACAGTAGAGTCCAAAAACATAATTATATTATAGCAAGGTCGCACTTAAACAATTTTCCTTTTAAAATAAAAAGTAGGGTGGCAATCAACGAACATATTGATGTTAAAATTTTATCACAACTTATATATTACATATTTTATTAACCATTACTAACTTTGAATATTTGTGTACATAAGTAAAGTTACTGTAGCAGCCAGAATTAAAACACAGCATGAGCATTAGCTAGGTATTTGGTTTAGTTGTTACATTAGAAAATTTGAAATAAAATTTGATTTTATTTGACTAATCAAGTTAATAAAACGACTAAGATTTTCAATATCAGTAAAGTTTATTTACTACTTTAAATCCTACCAAGTCTCTAGTACTTGCTATGTTTTGTATTGGTTAAAGCAACTTACAAGATGTTTGACTGATCACGAACCAGACTAGGTGTGCCTTACTAGGTTTTAAGGTTTAGAAATGTGGCCTATTATTGATGGTCATACTAGCATGTCATACTGATATGACCACAGAAATGGGAAAAATGATATGACCAGCATTAACAAACGCCCTGTGGCAAATGTGCTTGACTTAAATAATTAAGTACAATCTCGCTCAAAATATAAAACAAAGGATATATTAATTTGTCAAAAAGAATCCGATGTAAACCTGTTTATACTTATTGATACTTATTGCGTAACTGGCTTGGCACAAGTGTGATTTTTCCTTTATAGTGAGACGTTTGAAATAACGGTTTCTATCACCTACTCAAATACAAAATATTTAAGAATTTGTCAACTTTTCACTTCTAACTTTACTACCGTTCCATATAGACTCCGCTATTATAACAGCCGTGTTAATGCCGACTAAATATGACCACAAATACAAACCATTCTTATTGGTCATATCAGTATGATATGCTAGTATGACCACTAATAAACAGCAGGAAATCTGGTAAGTTATAGAATTTTGAAGCAGCTGTCACCGCAAGTTGGTGAGTACTTAGTAAGGGAGTAGTATTCCGTTAAAAAAATATTTTCACAAAAAAAATGTCCTTACCAAATTTTGCTCTGGAGCAGCAGAGTTAAAGAAATTAGATTCTAAAATGTACTAGCACGAAAAGCGATTGTTCACGCTACGCAATGCATCTTTAATCATGCAACGACGCTTCGTCGTTACTGGACAGTATATCATCAAAGAGCGTTGCTGCATCGCCTCCTACATGCTTTGTTGGAGCTATAACTTCAGCTTTCCATAAATCGAAATCGTTCATGATAGTTACGGCACAACCGAACTTAGTAACAGGCGGATAATTGAGATCGCTTGAACCGCCGACGCTTAAACGTTCCGAAGTTTCCTTCTCTATACGCTCTAAACGTTCTATAGCCGATAACGCATCGCCAGGTGGCCTCTGGTTGAAGTCAATGTCGATGTCGATTCTAGACAAAATTGAAAAATTCAATTATTGTTATAATTATTAATACAAAGATCGAACACTCAGAAAAAATTCCTTCGATCCGGTCGAAGTTTGTGAGTGAGTGTTTTTTCTGAGTGTTGATCTTTGTATTAACAAACTAGTGGAGAATTTCACAAAAAATAATTGAATACCAATTCAATAAAAATTTAATTAATACAGTGAATAGCGACATCTCTCGCCAAGACTGGTAGCTGTAAAGGTACTAACTGGATGATAAATCTGTCATAGATTTCTCATAGATGGCGCTACGACTAAAAAGTCGTTGATAGACGAAGTACAAAGACACGACGCAAGCACATAGAAAAATTCGTGAGGTCCGTTGGTTCGTTCCGTGGCTTAGTTGGTATAGCGTCTGGCACGGTATGCAAGAAGACGTCGGTTCGAATCCGACCGGATCGAAGGAATTTTTTCTGAGTGTTTTTTCTGAGTGTTCGATCTTTGTATTAATAATTATAACAAACTAGTGGAGTAATTTCACAAAAAATAATTGAATATCAATTTAATAAAAATTTAATTAATTCAATTATTATTTATTTTTCTTATTATATCGTGAAGCTTTACACAAAGTGTTGGTATCCAAACTTCGGAACCGTCAAGCCAAAATTCGGATTTGTTTTAATAATAAATATTACGACGACGAACAAGTCGTGTGCCTGGTGGTAAGTGATACACCTGTCCATAACAGTTGCAGTGCCACTCAGAGCTTTAAATCACAAAGATCTGAGGGGCACTGCCACTGTGCCCGACACTCTGAGACATAAGTTGGCAAGTCCCATGTGCCTATAATTTCACCAGCACCCTTGCCCTTCGAAACCAGAACGCAGTAATGTTCACATTACTGCTTGGCTGCAGAAATAGGTAAGGAGGCAGTACTTATCTGGACGAACTCTTCACAAGGAGCTTTACAGCTACCAATTTTACAATTAGATTTTTAAATATAGGATTTACAAGAGTGTCGTAAGACCCATTCTTACATACGGTTGTGAAGCTTGGACACTTACACTTAAAGAAGAAAACAAACTCCTTGTAGCTGAGAGAAAGGTTCTAAGGAATATTAGGGCCAGTGCAACGGGAGAACGGTAGGTGGAGAGTCCGCACTAACGTTGAAATAAAAGAGCTCGTCACCCAGCCAAACATCATCGGCGAAAGCAAAGCACACGTACTCCGATGGCTCAACCATTTATAATAGGAGAGTATCGAAACGTGAAGAGAGCCTATCTGGGTCGACCTAATGGACGAAGACCGGTTGGTCGTCACAGACATTGCTGGAGCGAGGCCGTGGAAGCGGACCTGCGCGAACTACAAGCCATCAATTGGCGACAGATGCTCAAGACCGAAGAAAATGGCATCATCTTGTTTCGGAGGCCGGGACACATTTTGGGTCGCTGAGCCTGCGGAGTCAGTAAGTTCTTCTTATATTAAACAACATCACATACGTCGCTCTGATAGAAAAGTTGTTGTTTCTTTAACCCTATATAAGTCTTCTTAACCTTTTTCTAGTCATGGATCGCTATGTGACGATGTGACCTCCTTAAATCGTCATCCCACCTTTTTATCGCAATTTCTCTGGGTTTCTGGCCACTTGTTTTTAAATTTTGAATCGTTCTTTAATTCAGTTGCCTCACCATTTTGTTTTTGTTTCATTCCATCGCCACTCCCTGCTTGACCGTGGCAGCGAACAGTATTTTTAATTGCGTCCAATTTTCATTCTTTTACGAGTTTTAATACCAATCTGTATTAACTACTACTAAATCATGTGCCTATTTTTATACCAATCTGTGACACTATATAACTCGGACAAAGGTTAAGAAACCCTGCTGTGTAGGTACCTATGCTATATAAAAAAGCGATCACCTAGTTGAGGCTATAAGCGCAAAAGTGGTGTAACACGTTTATTTTTTTCTACAAATATTACTTTAAATGATATCTACTAAAGGACAAAATTATTTTTATATTTGGATGCTATTTACATGTATAAAAAATTATTATTACTTTAAAGGTCATAATAATATACGATTACTGTGTATAAAATTTGTTTAGCTAATTTTAAATCCCTCATTTGTCGTACAACACTTTTGCGCTGGTAGACTCAGTTAGAAAGGATCTCAATTCGACACCGTTGAACCTTTTCGCATAATATGATAACTGAACAACTAAATGACGGCCGGATTTATAATCGTCACTTAAATGAAAATAAAAACCTCTTCCAGCTTTGTGCATTTGTTATCGCCTTTCTCATTCATCTTCATACATGCATCCCTCTCGCACATACTTTTCTTATAAATTATTCTTTGTATATACCTTCCCCGTGACCTTCGAGTACGCCTGACATATAAAATAGAAGAGATACTGACAGATAAAAAAAATAATAGAGAAAAAGCTAACGAATTTTGGGTATTTATATCATATATAAATACCCAAATATACTAATCGTGAACCTCATTAAACGGGAAGAGCGGCGTTCGCTCGAAGACAGAGAAAGTTAAACTTCAGTGCCTCAAGACCCTTTCGGAAATATCTTCTCTCCTCCAAATGATACAGTAACCACCGTCACTTCGTCTCTAGGACCTCCATATCCCGGAACTCATCTCGTGTTTGTTCCGGTGGTTTTTTCCGCAAAGCTTCCGCGCTAACAACCATTTTTGACGGCAGTCTGCTACTTACTCGAAGGTTTATAAGTTGTCGTCTCGATGAATGCAAATTGAAACGCATTCTGCGTTGTATTTCTTTAGCTAGTAATGTCAAGAACTTGAATAACAAAAATTAGGAAATTAAATTTTTTTTTTGGATCTAAGAGGTTACGCATGGCGACTTTCAGCAGCATTGCAAACGCGCTACTGCATCGATTCAAACGCGCGACTGCATCGACTCAAACGCGCGACTGTATCGACTCAAACGCGCGGCTGCATCGATACAAACGCGCGACTGCATCGACTCAAACGCGCGACTGCATCGACTCAAACGCGCGACTGCATCGACTTATACGGGCGACTGCATCGATACAAACGCACGACTACATCGATTCAAACGCGCGACTGCATCGACTCAAACGCGCGACTGCATCGATACAAACGCACGTCTAAATCGACTCAAACGCGCGACTGCATCGACCCAAACGCGCGACTGCATCGACTCCAACGCGCGACTGTATCGATACAAACGCGCGACTGCATCGACTCAAACGCGCGACTGCATCGACTCAAACGCGCGACTGCATCGACTCAAAGGCGCGACTGCATTGATACAAACGCGCGACTGAATCGATACAGTCGCTTATGTTGAGTAATTATGTACGAAAAATCTTCTTGTAGGTTGGAGTGAACTCCCGGGGTGTCGATTGTACATAGGGCTTTCTCCCGGAAATTCCCTGTTCCGGAAATACCGGAAAATCCCAGTATAGTTCCAATTCTATTCTAATTTGATTTTACGATCTTATGTTATGTTAAATTTAATAGTAATTATTTCTCAAATAGATATTATATAACCTTTAATTTATTAGAGAACGAAGTTTTTCTTTATTATTTATGGTATTATTATTACGTAAATTTCATTGAAAAGGTACAGATAACCCGGAAAAAAAAGTAAAAAAGCATATTTACTGGTTACAGTTTAAGCTTTTCAAGAAATACCGAGAATACCGGGAGTGCTGGTACCTACTGAACTTATCCCAGCACCGAGAATCAAAATTTTAGGAACCGGACCGGTTCTGCAAGCCTTAAGACACCACTTTACGAATCATCAACTTACACTTTCGAGTTTTTTCCACACTACGCGTTAGACTAGATAGCGTCTAATTCTCTGTAGCTGTAAAGTTTATATGCTATAAAAGTTACAAAGTTAATTACGCCAGCATTACAATGTAGAAATTTTATAGCGTTCTGACGTCATCTATAAAAAACGCTACATAACTACTGCGTTCCTGCAATTAGGCAATAATTATCGTTATACAAAAAATGGGGAGATCAATTATTACGTAGGATCTCGATTAAACATTACAATGACATGAAAAGCCACTTTCCAAGTGTGTCAACTTGTTTTATGTGTGTTCGGGACTAAACTGGCCCGAAGTTTTTGTTTAAGATTCTCGAGTAGTCAAGTTGGTAAACATAGTTTTGTGTGCGTAACTACTACATGTACTTATTGTACAAATACACTACGGATCGATCAAACAATAAATGTATAGAAAATATGACAAATATTATATTATGGTATTTACAATACGAGAATATACATAGAGAACTATGTCATTAAGTAATACATAGCCATAACTATAGCAATGGTCGTAATAGGGTGTTCCAAATGAGTGGATAAATGTCTACAACTACATACAGACGAGTACGTTTATTTTACGATGCAGTAAGACTATTTCCGAAAATCCGAAATACGAAAAAAGTAATTAAGGCGAGTACTCATACCTCAATGAGAGACCGCAGTGCGTTGACAATTAATATTAATAAAACAAGAACAGGCAGAGAAAATTTGACACAGATCGACAAGCGCCCGAAGGCGATTGACGGAGCAGTGGTCGGCGCGGTGCGTCGTAGAACCACTGGACAATTTTCAAATTTTGGGTTAAATGTAAATTTAATAACTATAGCGCTTAAGTTAAAACCCAAATTAAAACGTGTGTGAGCACCCTCCGTAAAATGTCCAAAATATATTAGTCATTTAGTAAAAGTTCTAAAACAATTCTAAAAAGCAATCTTTCTATTTGTAAAAAGATAAAACAAGAGAAAAATAACTTAATGTGTGCTCACTCGGTTCTCACAGAGGGCCAGTCAGATCTACAGATGTATTAAGTTTACATATAATATTATTGTACTAGTTCTTAGTAAAAGTTTTGTTAAACTATCGTTTTTAATTACGGATAGATCGGTGCCTTTTTCAAATTTTTACAAATACTTTCTTACGCTCACTCAATCCGCACGTATTTTAAAGGAACGATTTCTTAAGAACCAAATA